CTCCCAGACTCAAGCAATCCTCCTGGCTCAGCCTACAGAGCAGCTGGGATTACAGAGATGAAGCTACTGCCCCTGTCAGATAAGAGGATTTCTTATAGAACATCTCAAAATACTGTAATCATCATCCTGAAGAACAAGCAGAATTAGTTAAGACCAGTTTTAAACAGAAACAGAAAGACACTTACAGGATGAGCCCTATCATAGTGGACTATCTTATTATAGAGAATAGCCAGTAAATGAAGGCTCATTTTACAAAGTGCTTTCTCACACCACATTATGTACTCTGTTGACACACTAGAGTCATAATGTGTAAGTGTAAATATGCAATTATATAATCAGTACAGTAATTACTAGTGGACTTCCTCACCCCATCTCAGTTCAGAACCATAAGTTCTGTGAGAGCAGGGAGAGCATTTGTCCTGCCAGCACCTACTCACCTTTCTATAGGAAGCCGACAAGGTTTATGCAACCAGCTGCCCTCATGCACTGATGGTCTCAGGGTAAAATGGAACTACCTCTGCGGTAGGAAGCCTGCCATTTCACTTTTTTTTATTTTTTAAAAAAGTAAAATCATAGCTATTTCTTTTGATCAAGTGATGGCACTTCCATAAATTTGTAGTAAAGAGATAAAAAGTTTGCATACCTAGTGAATTTTATATAAACCTATGAATTATAACATGTTTATATTGGTTAAAGGCTAGAAGTAATTGTCAACTACCAGACTGAATTAACTGACAATAACACTTAGAGACAAGTTGATTAAAAAAAAAAATGATTTGCTATAATGCAAAAATTCCAGATATGAAAATATGAAATTACACACACAGTATGAATATAACAGTACTTAAAAACCCATAAACTGCCAAGTCTACATCCTAAACAGAGAATGGAAGAAAATATATTAACGTAGATTTTACTTGCATTTCTATTTATAAATGCAACCTGAGTATTCTGGGGCGGAGGCATTCTATTGATTCTAGAAGCAATATTATTCCCCTAAGGAATACACCCTGAAAAAGATGATATTTAGTCAATCTCTTTCTTTCTTTCTTTCTTTCTTTCTTTTTTGAGACAGCATCACTATGTTGCCCTTGCTTTTGCTAGAGTGCTGTTGGCATTAAAGCTCACAGCAACCAACTCTTGGGCTTAAGATTCTCTTGCCTCACGGCTTGGCGCCTATAGCTCAACCGGCTAAGGCGCCAGCCATGTACACCTAAGGTGGCGGGTTCAAATCCCCAGCCCGGGCCCGCCAAACAACAAT